TTTACAACTAGTGGTATTTAAGTAAGCTAGAAAAATGTTGGCTACAGGGATTCTGAACTTCCAGATTCCTTTTTTTTTCTATAATTGAAGTTTGCTTTTTCTGCCTCCCCACCTAATGGCACTCTGATAGTAGTTAGTACAGTAGGCAGTAGTAGTGGGGGTAGAACTGATAATAGGGTCATTCTACTGGAACTGGATCCATGGAGAACAGATATGTGTTTGCAGCTTTCTGTCATATGGTAGTATAACTGAGAAGCTGATATCCTATTAATTCATTGTCCTGTCATGTTATCCTAGCTTTTTCTTGCTGTGTTAGAAAAAAAATGCACATACAAACCATGTGCCTCTGTGAGTGAGTGTGAATGTGAAGAATGTGTCTATTTTGAGATGTGTTGCATATTCTCTGTTGTAACATTAGAAGCAGGCTGTGGAAAGTTGGACTGCTAAAATAAATCATTGAAATTCAATACTGACTACTTGTAGAATAGACCCTTCGTTATTGTGCACAACTATTTTGACAGAGAGCTGTAAGGTTCCATCTTTATGTGAGCAGATCATTTCTTTTGCTTTCAGGAAAATGCAGATTTTTGTAGGAAAAAAAAAAGAGAATTGAGAGACAATTTTTTGTGGATATGTAGTACCTCTTTTGAATAGTGAGAGAATTTTTCAGTGAGAAATACAAGTTTACCAGACTTGGGAAGGAGTTTTGCAAGTCTGTTATGTCCAAACCAACAATAGTTGTGTTGTTTATACCTAATCCATTGGTTGGGTTCTTCCTTTCTTCCTTCCTTCCTTCCTTCCTTCCTTCCTTCCTTCCTTCCTTCCTTCCCTTTCCTTCCTTCTTTCCTATGTCCCATCAAGTCAGTGTCAACACAAAGTGACCACATATATTTTCTCCAAGAATAAATACATAAAAATAAACAAATAATTTTAAGCAAGATTTAGCACACTAGATTTTTGCCAATCTCATGAGGCAACATGGAAAGGGTTCAATATGACTTACACAGCCTCTTATCAGTTTTTAAAAAATCTTTTACTTTTAATATTTAAAGTCCACCAAAGTAATGCACAACTGATTTCAAATGGAACATAAACAACATAAGAACCAATAATGACTAACTTTAAAGAAAACAATAACGTTTACTGAACTATCTTTAAAGACCAAGTTTAAAAGTTGTTTAGCCATTCCTAAAAGCCAAGAGAAAGGGAGGCAACTGTTAACTCCAAAGCAAATGCAATTCTTGTTTTGGAGTGGCATTCAGAACCAGAACTGATCCTTCTCTTATGCCCAATAACTGGACTAAGAGGTGCTGCTCTCCAAAGGGGTTTTCATCTATAAAGAAAAGGGAAAATCTTCTTCAGCTTGATAGAGATGCTAAGCAACAGCATGGAGAAATTCATACAGTTTTCTTGGCAAAGGAAGTAGTTTGCTATTTTTTTTTTTTATTTGATTTATATGCCCTTCTCCGGAGACTCAGGGCGGCTTACAATGCATTAAGCAATAGCCTTCATACTTTTGTATATTTTATACAAAGTCAGCTTATTGCCCCCACAAACCGGGTCCTCATTTTACCTACCTTAAAAGGATGGAAGGCTGAGTCAACCTTGAGCCTGGTGAGAATTGAACTCGCAGTAATTGCAGGCAGCTGGAAGCTAAATACTACCTTTAACAGTAGCATTAGTCTGCTGCGCCACTCAGGTTCTATTCTTACAGGATATTTTTTTAGCCTCCAGTTCTGGTATTCCATGAAAGAATCCTGCTGAAATGCTAACCAGTCCAGATCCTGTTTAGTTTCCAGGCCCAGCCAAGTATTGTCACCTGGACCTAATTCTCCAAAGGTAAGATTCACAATCTTTTTCAGGATGAGTGGCAAATTGGTGAACAGCCTTCAAACTGGAGACTGAACCAGGACAAAGGGGGCAGCTCTAGATCAATGTGCTTAAATTTACATTAAACTAAATGAAAGGAAAAATAAAACAGTAAGTCCTTATCATGCCCTATAGATAGGAATATCCTCAGGACAGGACATAGTCAAATAAGTCATGATGGTAACTTCAATCGTGTAATTGGAGCTTTGTCCATTTTTATATGAGTCAGTCCCATTAAAATGGAATGTTTGGACATGTCTTAAGCCAGAAAATATCAGATCCAGAATAATACAGTATCCTCAGAGCCTCTTCCATTTTACCTCCTCCATGTGTGTGGATTAAGGATTATGGGAATTGAAGTTGGATCTATCTGGAAGGCACCAAGGAAGACTATTCTTGGTATATTGGTATGTCAATACAAATAATATATTGGAGGATAGAAATGGTAAGTGTGGCTATTAGCACAGCATTCTGGAAGATGGTACCCTGTGCTTCGAAGGAAAAACAGCTTCCAAGAAGCCAGTTTACTACCCAGAAAAAGAACAGCTGCATGGAAGTTATTTTCCTCGTCCCTGCCAGAAATAACATTTGGCTCCAGCTGCTGGTTGCCCGGGAGTTGTAGGCATAAGGGAAGATAAGACAAATAAGGGCTATTCAGTCATTTATAGCATCCTAGTCCAAGCCAGGCTGCTTATAAGAGAAATCCACAGATAGCAGAGGATCTGGAAGAAGCATTGGCAACTACTGTCTTACGGAGACGAAGCATAAGAAATAGAGGCCTCCAAAGACTGGGAAGACCCTTCTGGTGACCAACAGCATTTCAGGGAATCTGGAAGGCTTAGCCCAGCGGTCAGCAACCTGCGGTTCTGGAGCCGCATGCGGCTCTTTCACCCCTCTGCTGCGGCTCCGTCACTCAAAATATGCATCACAACTGCCAATGTGCGACACCCGCCATCACGCAATTTATTGAGCTTTTCAACCCCCGGTAGGCCAACCATGGATAAATCCAAGAAAAGTTTCAGAAGAAAACAGGTTTAATTCAACTACATATGCTAGTTTTGTGGCCGCTCAAGAAACAGTCAGGCACAGGAAGGATTTTGTGGCTCTTTGAGTGTTTAAGGTTGCCGACCCCTGGCTTAGCCAGTCAAAGTAAGCAGATATTACTTCCTGGCAGAGCAGGAAGACCCAGGAAGTGAGTAACTTTAGATTCAGAACACTGAGAAGTTCTCTGAACCCAAAGCTCTGAGAACTAAACACTGGTGGAAAATAAGCAACTAGACAGAAGCCCAACATGTGGTCAGTAATTGAGCACTGAAGGCAGCCTAAGTCCTCCATAAAGAAAGAAAGCATCAGTTAATACAACTAAAAGAACTACTGGGAGTAGGTGAGGAATTAAAGTCTGGCTAAAAGCAGTTTACAACACCCTCCACTTTCCAGCACAATCCAGTAAGAGAATATAAGTTAATATGGGCTATAGAGGACCAGGCACAGGCCAAAAATACTAGTGGGGCCAGAATTCAAGTTAAAAGGGAAAGTTAAAGAACAGGAATAAAGAGTGCTGTAGAATATAGAATGTAAGCATATTGATAAAATAGCATATAAGGTAATAGACATGAGAAAATAAAGCAGAAAACTAATTGTAAGAAAAAAGAAGCAAATCTCTTAACATTGTAAAAAAAAAAATCTGCATTTTTCCAGTATCTTATAATAAAAATCTCATTTAGTGAGAATTGTGGGTCTCTTTGACTAGTACCAACTCACAAAGTAAGTAAGTGACCCTTTGAAATATATATTGGATTTAATTAGAAGGGATAATTTTCCCTGTATTTGTACCAGCATCCCATTTGTTTACCATGCAAAATTTCTGGCATTATCAAAATAGCAATACAGTAAGTAGCAATAAGCAGAAGCAGAATGTATTGAGGATTGAATCTTACCTTAAACCACAGTATGAAGTCATGACTTACTCCTAATTTGCTTTAAAGAAAGAAACTGAGTTCAAGATCTGATGTGCAACTGAAGGTGATTTGAAAAGAGAGTGAAATTCCAGAAGCAATTGTAATTTTTTTGCAGCTGTGGTTTCATGGTAACTCATTCATAATAGGAAAATCAATTTGCCAATTATAGTTGAAATAGACTAGAAATTTGAAGTCAATAAAGTTGATTTGATTGGGGTAAATACATTCGGTATTGTGAACAAAACAGTCCCACTTATCGCTAAATTTTCAATATTCTAGGGATATTGCATTTTTTCTCAAAATTAAACATATTTGATTTTAATATTTTACATTTGGCAGTAGTAGATAGTTGACAACACCTAATTAATAAGATCTCCCATACAAACTTATTAAAGAGTTCAGAAACATATATCAATATGATTCAGGAAAACCAAACTCTAAATACCATTCTTAAAACAGATGTTGGTAATAATGTTTAAACTGCCTGTTACCAGCCCAAGAAGTGTTATAAAAAAACACTCAAGCAATCCTCAAACTGACTCAAGTTACTCTTAAACTATGCCTTGCTTAAACTGAATAAACCACATAACACATAACAAGCATTACATTGACCTGAAACCAAACCAACCACATTACGGCTTAAAATCTGAGTGGGTTAACTAAAATCTAGATTCCTGTCTACTGCTCATACTATTTAAAGTATTTCTAGACAATAGAAACTGTACGGTCATGACATTACAAATATAAAATTGCATTACGTATAAAAAATAGTACATCTAGCAAGTGCTCATTTCAGGAATGAGTATTTTTTGACTGAGTTTGCAGTCCTTAGAAAACATGAACTGGGTTTAACATGTCACTCTGCATTTGATCACAACTTGGCATATGGTGTGAATTCAGTCATTATAGTTGATGTTTTGTGGTTTACCACAACACATGATTCTATGCACAGAATTATTGAATAAACATGGCTTAGCACAATGTCTGAACTGTTTGCATGCCTTGCCAAGTAATTATCTGCAATGAAAATGTCAGAATATGCACAATAATAGCACACCCAGTTCTTTCCAAACTCTATTTTGATCATGAAATTCTTGGGGACTTAATATGACCAAACAGAATTAAAAATTACTTGTCAATATTACCCTAGCCGAAGACAAATAACTCCAACCATTTTATAAATAAGGATCTTTATTTAGAATAGTGTTGAAAACATTCTCAGCATCCATATTGTATAAATATATAAAGTTAAAGTTTTGCACAACAAACCAAGCAACATTAAATACATACATTTTTATTGTTCTTTCCATGGAAACTTTTTTGCAAAGTATACAAAATAATTGCTCTTGTTCTTTTTTCTTTTTTTAAAAAAAGTGGTCCACAACCTTTTCTGCGTATATGTGGATGTGATTATGGGGTGGGGGTTTAGATGGGGGGAATTGCAAAGAAAAGCAGCAATTCTGAATGCATCTGGCTGCTTAAAGTATACAGATTGTAATGGGAATTGAGCAGCCTATCCAGGACTGCAAGGATCCCCGTCCATTGACCTTTCCACGGTAAAAACATTGGCCATTTCATGGTGCACAATTCTAAAAGTCCTCTATATACAAATTAAATAGCTTTTGTTTATAACCAATAAATAAGTGCATTCTTGGAGTAATACAAGCATGGAAAAAAAGGAATTATTAGATAGATTTGAAAGCGAGTAAAAAAAAAATAGCCTAAGTATCGTTCATTCTCAGTCTTGGAAATGCAGGTTTAAGTACGATTGTTGGTTAAAAGAGAGCATTTGTCATATTTGCACTTCATAGCACTTGGTAAATAGGGTTGCTGGCATTGTTGTTGGCAGAGTCCTGAGGAATCTGAGTACAGCTGGCTGGGGAGCTGGTTTGGGCTCCGGTATCACTCAGGCTGGGCCCTTCGTGGAGTGAGCAAGGACTGCCTTCAATCCCACTTTCAGCTGTGGGTAGAGCAGGACAAGCTGTGCTCTCTGTTGAAATCCGTTCCACAATGCTGGATAAGCAATCTAGGCTGGAAACGACTGAATTCTTCCCTTGCTTTGAATCTAAAGATAGGGAGATCCGTCAATCTCAGGACAATACTGAAAAGCTATTTTTTGCAGGGGTCTTCACACTTACACACCACACACAATGAAATACATATGTTTTATATCATATATTGCTATTCAGCAGTCAAGGGAATGATTTCAGCTAAATGTCTACTCAATTCCCCTCTAGTTGCAAATTCAATGGACATTACAGTAATGGCACATAAACTGGGAATAAGTGAAGCTGAGAATTCAAAATGGGACTGTTTTAAAATTTATGCATTTATTTATTAAATCTATACACTGCCCATCTCACTGTTCAAGTCTAAGGTTATGTACCAAAACAACTGGTCATTTTGATCACCAATGAAAATTACTTAATAACAGTAACAGTATATTTGATAAAATGTATACACTTTCAGGTACATGTAAATAAATAAAAAGGTACCCAAAATATTATATATTTTAACTGAGAAGAGTATTTTTTAAGGGAAAATACTCACCACTGAGTGATTCTGAATAGTAGTTGCTGTCATAACTACTCCTTCTGCGAGAACTGCAAGGAGGACCACTGTATTCCATCTGAAACAAAACCCAACAATACAAGGCATTCAATCAGAAACATGAACACAAATCTCGAGTCAAAAGTGTAATGATACTTTCATATAGTGATAGATATGCAGTCCTTTATATATCAGATACCACAAATTTCTCATTTTTGTAATGAGAATTTTTATATATTACACACACACGTATATACACATACACAAACATTTCATTTGATATTTACTGCATTTCATAGCAAACTCAAGAATTATACAAATTACCATCTTAGTTATTTAGACTTTGTGGAACAATTTTGCATGTATAGATACCAGGCTCATGTGCTCTTACAACAAGCCCTTTATGCAAAGTGGTGCTGGAAATTGGAATGGGCTACTGGCCATTTGGGTAGAAAAGTCTCACCTAATGATAGCAGCATTCCTTGTCTTCCAGAAGGCCATTAGGAAGTTGGTTTTCCCCCTCAGGCACGGGGCGAGAAGGGAGGGAAGATTATTCTGATTGATCATGTTTTAAAGGGTCTATTTAGATTACTATTGACTTTTTAAAAATTATTTAATTGCTGTTGTGCATCCGGAGGTACTTTATATATATGGGTGGCCATGTCTGTGGAGAGTGGCCATGCACATTTTAAAAAATTAATAAAATAACAGTTAAGTCAATCAATCAATAAATTTTATGAATGTGAAGTCCATGGTTCTGGCATTAGCAATAGCACTTATATACCGCGTCATAGGGCTTTATAGCCCTCTCTAAGCAGTTTACAGAGCCAACATATTGCCTCCAACAATCTGGGTCCTCATTTTACCGAAGGATGAAAGGCTGAGTCAACCTTGAGCCCCTTTAGGATTGAACTCTTGGCTGTGGTCAGAATTACCCTGATTCTAACCACCGGACCTTGGCTCTTAGAACAGGAAGAACTGTTTTTTTACTCTTAACTGAATTCCAAATATTCATCAAAGTAGGAAACAAAATTAAATTACAAGAGAACTGTTAGTTGCACAGTGGCCAAGGATTATGCATGACTCATTTGAAATGATCATAATTCCTGTGCTTTGATTAAATCCTCCAGAAGGTTCCTACTCTCGGACTATTTTAGACTGGGAGGTTTCAGAGCGATTGACAGGTATATTAAACAGTAACCCCCTCTGCCACACCCCAACAATAGAATAAAATCAGCTCAACGAAAGATTAAATATCAAGAAAACCCAAGTCCTGCCCAACATGAAATTCACTAAATCATACAAAAACACTCATTCTTTTTCAATCTAGCCTACCTCATGGGCTCCTTATTGTGGGGATTGGATTTAGGTGGAGAAGACTCTCTTATGTTACCATGATGTTCCTCCTTTCAGGGGAAAAATATCTCATGAACAAGATTTTTTTTTTTAGAAAAGGAGAAGAGGGTTGGTAGAAAAGTCTGTGAAATTACAAATCGGATTTTACTGCGGCATAATGCTAATCTTTTTTTCCCCAAATTGCTATTAGATATATTAAAGCACTTTATTATTGCAAAAAAATCTTCAATAAGTTACTTAGATTCACAACAGTGTTATAATTTTTTGCCTAGTAAGGCTTCTTCCTAAACCACAGAACTCCATGCACATTTACTAGAGAGTAAGTTCCAAAGAAGGCAGGATGGTCCTTAGAAAATAATGTAGAGGATCCATTGGCAAATAATGCTTTTTTCCAGAAAGGCTTTGAACCAGCATGTTTAATGAACACCTTTCAATGAAGGTTCTCCATAAATGAGCAGATTCAGAAGCATTTACTATGGACTGTTCGGTTCCTGAGGAAGTGAATGAGGTCAGGATGTAATTTTAACTGCCATCCACCATCTCAAAAATACTAGCTTTAGGATATATAGCTGTATGGCTATGGAAAAGGGGAGGTGTATCTTTGGACAAGAAAAATGAGAATGTTCCATTTAATGGACGGGGTAAGTATGCATTTTCCCCAGTGATTAAATTTCATAAGCAAATAGTAATTATATTTGCTCCAAGAAAAAAAAAACACCAGAAGGGCTCATTTTACTGCAAGGAGGCCAGAGGGAGTTGAATTTCAGAAGACACAGATTGAATTTCATACCACAAATCCTCTAGAGCAGAAAGAGTGATACTTAAAAAGTTTGTCCCCTAACTATTTGAAGTTGCTGTTGCAGTATTTTATATGTGACTTTCTTAAGGTGTTTGTGTGTACGGGCATGTCCGTGCACCAATGCCTTTGAATCAATTCTTGACTCCTGGACAATTCCACGCAGCATTTTATTTTGGAAGTGGCTTGCCATTGCCTCCTGCCTAGGGCTATGACAGAATGACTGGCCCAAGATCATTCAGTTGGCTTCATGCCTGAAGCAGAACTCAGGTCTCCTGGTTTCTAGCTTGTTGCCCTAACTAGTATACCAATCTGGATCTCTTGCTGAGGATGTTTCAAAACTGTATATATTTTTCTTTAGTTGGAATCACCAAAGAAGCTTCTGTTGAAAAGCAACCCGTTACTTGAATAAATAAATGTACTCTGTGGATTAGAAAGCACATCCCCTTGAAGTGAAATCCCACCAATTCAGTGGGCATTCATTCCTTAGAATGCAACCTCACTAATACAACTACGGCTGGATGGAAAGATGAATTGGAACTACACAGTTAAAAGCAGAACAGAGAGACAATTTATTCCATCCATTTATTACAACCTCTGACGCATAGGAATGTCCATATCAAATTTCTCCTGTCTCCACCCTAATTCCTGAGGGAACAAATAACCCAAACTGGGATTAAGACAGCAAACCTCCCCTCCCTTTTTACTCTAAAGCTGAGCACAAAAAAAAAACAAAAAAAAAACTTGCCTATGGACCTTTTTCTTCTTTCTCTTGGATTAAGAGACTAAGCCTGCTTCATCACCAGAGGAGAGCATTCCCTATTTTCCTGGACATAATAAGGATGAACAGAAACTGATCCTCCCTTGCCAAGGAATCAGAGGGCACTTGAAGAAAGATGCTCTCAAAAGGCATCTCGGATTGATTATAAGCTTTCTCTTTTGTCCTGGAAATTAAAAGCAGAGAAAACCTGAGAGAACGCATGTTGACTAAAGGAGAATAACTGCACCATATCTCCTCTTGAACACAAACTAAACAAGAAGTCCTCCTAGCACTTCCAGAAAGGCAGTAGCTACCACTTCCAGAAAGGCAGATTAACACCTGCAACCCTAAGAAGCTTTTTAAGGAAGCCAAGACTAGAAGTTGGGGTTCTCTCTCCCACTTGGGGAACCCTAGTTTCTGAAAAAGTCATGAAAGCAGGCTGAATCCTGCCCCCCACCCCAATGATTGGGTGGGGCACAAATGAGGGCTTCCTGTTTCTGTGCCACAAATTTCAGGGCAAGACGTCCTACCGTCTCAGGCCAGAGCTTTTCATCTTTAAGAGGGACTGTCAAGACATGCGGGGAAGCAGCTCTTGTGGACTGCCCATCTCTCTAATCAAGGCGAATAGCAACAGCACTTAGACTTATAGGAGTAGTCCTCGATTTACAACAGTTCATTTAGTGACTGTTCAAAGTTACAACGGCACTGAAAAAAGTGACTTATGGCCATTTTTCACACTTATAACCATTGTGGCATCCCCGTGATCATGTGATCAAAATTCAGACACTTGGTTACTAGTTCATATTTATGACTGTTGCGGTTTCCCAAAATTGTTTTGATCATCTTCTGTAACTTTTTGACAAGCAAAATCAATGGGGAAGTCAGATTCACTTAACAACCACGTTACCCACTTATCAACTGCAATCATTCAACTGACAACTGTGGCAAGGAAGGTTGTAAAATGGGGCAACATTCACTTAACAGGAATTAAGTGGTGGCGCAGCAGACTAAAATACTGTTATTAACATCAAGCTGTCTGCAATTACTGTAAGTTCAAATCTCACCAGGCTCAAGGTTGACTCAGCCTTCCATCCTTTCTAAGGTAGGTAAAATGAGGACCCAGATTGTGGGGGCAATAAGCTGACTTTGTATAAATATACAAAAGTATGAAGGCTATTGCTGAATGCACTGTAAGCAGCCCTGAGTCTCCGAGAAGGGCGGCATATAAATAATTAAAAAAATAAATAAAAAATGTCTCATTTAACAACAGAAATCTCAGGCTCAATTGTGGAAGTAAGAATACAGCCCCTCTGAAAACGATTTAGAGAATCAGTATATGCCCCTCCCGCTTAAAACTCCCCCCCACGACAATCTGGGTCCTCATGCATAGCGAAGCGTCCTCGGTTAGCGGCGGTTTTTTTGCGCCCCAGCGCTGAGACTCACCATGCCGTCGGAGCAATTGGAGCGGGGGCTGGAGGCGTCGGAGTCGCCGCTGTAGTGTTCCAGGACCGGGTAGTAGACGTCCTCTTGCTCCCGCAGCAGCGCCTGGAGGCTTTCGATGTAGCGGATGGCGTTGCGCAGGATCTCCACCTTGGGCAGGCGCTGGTTGGGGTTGGTGGAGGTGCATCGCTTGAGCGTCTCGAAGGCCTCGTTGACCTTGCTGAGCCGCCGCCGTTCGCGCATGGTGGCCGCCTTGCGGCGGTCGGCGTTGGTGGTCTTCCTCTTGCAGGCCTTGCAGGCCCAAAGCAGGCAGCGGCCCGCTTGGTGGTGCCCGCTGGGCGCTCGGATGTGCTCGTCCTCGTGGCCGTGGTGGTGGTGGCCGTGCTCGTCGGCCTTCAGCAGGCCTCCCACGTGGACCAGCCGCGGGTCCAAGTCTTCGAAGAAGTGCATGTCCGACGTGTTGAAACAAGGGTCGTCGTAGAAATCGCCGGCGGGCGAGAAGGAGCAGAGGGAGCCCTCGGTCAGCTCCATGTGGCCTAGGACGTCCATGGAAGAGCGGTGGCCGCCGGGCTCTCCACCCGGGCTTTCCTAGGGCGAAAGGCGGGCTGGAGGAGACGCGGGGCGCTCCGATGCCAAACGAGAGCGAAGGAGCGCGGGAGGGGGCTTCGGTCTCGCTTCCCGCTTCTTTATCCCTGCTTTCCCCCTTCCTCCGCCGCTCTGCCTGCCTGGAAGCAAACGACGGGCCCTTCCCGATGCCATCCCACCGGGTCCCCTCGTGGCTCTATTTATCCCGGAGAGGAGGCTGGCCGTTCCTCCGCAGCCACCTCTGCCCCACCTGCCGGCCTATCCCCTCGGGCCTCGCAAAGCCTGGTCGACGGGAGGGGCGGCGGCGGGGGGTTGTCTCCAAGCGGGCGGGAAAGGGAGAGGCCAGAGGCCGGGGCCGTCGTGATTGGAGGGAGGCCGAAGAGAGACGCCCGTCAGACGAGTGGGAGAAACGTGGCCGTGTTTTGGAGAGGGGACAAATGTCAAAACGCCCGTCGGGGGAATTAGCTGGAATGGGGGTCGAAATCTGCCTCATATTCAGATGCTTGTTTCGGTTTTCGTTCGTTTTCAAGGTGGTTTTTTTTTTTTTTTAACTCTCTGTCCGGCTTCTTGGAATAACTTGGGAGGGAAAAAAACAGGAATAAATGCAGCTATGTAATAAGAGCCGGTTTTGGAATCGGGTGGCTTTTTAAAATCCTTTCTCTTCTCCCTCACCCCTCCCCTCCAATAAGGCAAATCTTCATTTTACCATGTCAGGAACGTTACACTCTGTGCTATCTAACTGAAAGGTAAAATAGTAATAATAATGTATAATCTTTTGAGACCGCATCGAATTTTTTAAAATTTATTTTTCCCAGGAGCGCGAAATCACAGAGAAGGGTGAACAGTTTAAAATCGAACGCGTTTGGGAGGCGATTTATAGAGGTTTCCCCAGGTTTGGAAAATGCCAATATCGCTTTTTTATTATTATTTTTTGGAAGAGGCTTCTTGGAGGATTTTTCCATCGAAGCCGTCGTAGTTCTGAACCTGCTTTAATCTGATTTACCCCTGTCGCTGCTTTTCATTGATCCGTCTATGAAGCACGTCGGTGATCCAGTTGGTAATATTCGATCGCAAGGTTGTTTCCCGAAACGTGGCCATCGGTTGCAGCTTTGGGTATTATTATTTTTTCAACCCTGTTTTAAATTTAGATGCATACGAATGATGACGATCTGTTATCACTGGAGGCCATAATATCCGGGGCAAGCGTCTTCTCGTTATTGAATATTGTCCCTTTAGTTTTTTTCGATTCAACATTTTTATTTTCACGGTGGAAATGAAAGACGCAGACGCGTCTCGCCAGGAAATCCTTAGGCTTCCACCGTGCCTGCTCTTTGATTCCGTATTTATTTTTTCGATTTCAACTATCGTTCGAATAGGAGGCGGACAAAAATGAAGCCTTTTTCTATTGCTCTTCCCAGCCCTTTGGATAATAAAGAGCCATTTTTCCATGCCAGTCCCTGTAGGATTGCGACCTATATACCTTGCCTTTTCCCTGGGGACAAATTGGAGGTAGGATTTTGAAACGGGGATGGGATTATCAAACCAGCGGGTGGGATGTCGCCTCTTCTCCGCCAGCCTGGGAGTTTTTTCCAAGATAATCCCCGGCATTCGTTGCTTTAGTTTTCGGGATTATTTTATTCATTTACTTGATTTTGAATCGCCGGGAACCGAATCGCCGGAGTCCTGAGCTGCGAGTAAATTAAAAGAGTGCTTTATTTAGATCGATAGAAAAAGAGTTAGAAGGAGACATTGAACTCCCAATGTCTGATGGGAAGGATTTATAGATCGCGGACCCGTTTAACTTTGCCCCCCGCGGCTAGGTCTGATTTGAGTGAAAAGTCCTTTGGGTGCTTTATAAAATGGGACGAAGGAGTGGGAGGGGGGTTGGCTCATGATTGGTAACATTCAGCCAACCCAAGAAATTGTTGCAAGGGTAAGAAGACCCCCCAGCCGACCAGCAAGGGGTGGGAAAAGAAATTCCGAAGGCCAAAAAAGTGGAAAGCCTGGACTAGGCAAGGCATGTCGTTCCCAAGCCAAGGCAAATCGTTCGGGCCGGACTAGTAAAACTGAGCCGAGAAGGGGACTACGCGGTGCCTATTGTCAACCTGGAACATCTATTTTGGACGGTTGGGCAGAATTTGTCAACTTCAATCCAACTAACTTAGGTTTTATGCCTTTGTTTGGTTGCTATCTTCCCTTTGTACTCGGCTCCTAAAAAAACGCCAAGCGATTCAAGGCCAGCTTCATACTGCCCAACAAAGTTTGCAAATTTGGACAAAGTTTGCAAATTTGGTGCCTGATAAACCTAATCTCTGGTGCCCACCCCAGTTTAGCTGGACCTTTGGGGAAATTGAAATGGCAGTACATCAGGGAGGGGTATTATCAGCTCTTTCCCTTTTGGAAGGAGAGCCCTGAAAGACTTTGCCTGAGTTGATTTGGCTTTCTGAAGGAGCAGGGGAATCCTTGTTTTATCCTTCTGGAGAACTAATATTTGCTCATTGAGAGTGCTGCAGCTACCAGAAAGAAGGGTCTGTTATTTTAAACAGGGAAAATAAATAGATGCTGGAGGTTTCTAAATCTTGACACCAAGTTGAGATGTAGTCAACATTTTTCAGAAATATGGAAATGATGGACTAATTAAGAGCATGTTTTATTGGTGATTACTTAGAAATACCGTGTTTCCCCCAAAATAAGACTCGGTCTTATATTTTTTTGAACCCTGAAATAAGTGCTTGGCCTTTTTGCGATGCACTCAAAAGCCTGATTGGTCTTATTATCAGGGGATGTCTTATTTTGGGGAAAACAGGGTACCTTTCACTGGACAAACTGGGATTTACTTCTATATAAATAGATATACTCATTAAGTTTAACCTGAGTTGGAAGTATTTCCTTACTTTTTTATTCTCCAGCTGCCCACAGGATTCTAATCTATATGGTCCCATATGTACTGCATTGTATTCCTATACTACCGGTATATAGAATAGAATTTTTTTTTATTGGCCAAGTGTGATTGGACACACAAGGAATTTGTCTTGGTGCATATGCTCTCAATGTACATAAAATAAAAGATAAGTTCATCAAGAATCATAAGGTACAACATTTAATGATAGTTATAGGTTACAAATAAGCAATATACTGTATATAGTGGGAGTGATCATATCTTCCAGAAAGTACTTCTGCTATATTCCACTGATCATCCTTGGTGATGTTGGCTGGAGTTTATTAGAATTATATCTAGAGGTACTTTGCAGACAAGCTTTAACAAACTGTTCTTTCTAAGAATCGAAGTCTACATCCAGAGATAAATAGGCAATGCACTTTTTTATCTACATTACCACAGTATTTTTCAACCTTAGCAAATTTAAGAAGTGAATTCTGAGAGTTGAAGTCCACACATCTTAAAGATGGCAAGGTTAGGAAACACTACACTACAGTATAATATAGTCCTAGATATACGGTAATTACTTATTTTACGTAACTGGTAAATAGCAATAAATTGCAAGACACAGTCTAACGTTTCTACTTTTTTTCTTGTATTTTGATACAGCACAATTATGAATAAGTTAATAAGTAGAAATAATTACTCAGTAATATGTTACCACAGAATGTTTTACATGGGAATTATGTGAACAAGCATAGCTTTGTGATAATTTCAATCTGTTGGAAACATACTATATATATATATGTATATATATATATATATCAAGAAAGCTAAGCAAGTTCAGATATGATTAGTATTTAGATTAGTACCTGGAAATCCAAGGGTCAAGTGCTAGATTGGGAAATTAAAAATCATTCTGAAAAATAAGGATGGCAAGTCACTATTATGCTGCTGCCAAGAAAACTGGACATACCCATGAAATAATCAGGAACTGAACTCAGCTTGGAGACTTCCATCAACTGATCTTTTAACAGAGCTTCAGAATGCATTATATTAAGTGTCCACTAGAGGATGCTCTCTCTATATTGATCTTGAGTCATATTAAGTGGAGATTTTTCTTTTTCTGCATTATAAGGTTGCTTTCAATCTTGGAGTGCTAAAATATATTCAAACAGCACTACTTGGTTTCAAGGGTGCCTTGTCTAGTTTCCAAATAACCCAGATCCATGTTATTATCATTGTGACTATATTTCTCTTAATACTAATTTTCCTAAGGCGAATTACCTGAAGAGGAAAACCAGAGGTAAACCGCAGATCAAGTAAGACAGCCCTTCTGCCACCAGTTTTCTAGTTAGTTGACAATCAAGTGATTCAAGATATACTAAGGCTATTTATTTATCATGTTTCCATAAAATTCAAGTAAAAAGAACAAAAATTCTAGAGCAGCACAAGAGATCTTGCTAGTTTATAAAACAGAAGTGGAAACCTAATTCATAAGGTTAAATAATAATGAAATTGTTTAATATTTATATGAATCCCAGGAAGGCAAACTATTAAAAAATTCCATAAAAATTGGTAACACAGTGCTATTATTGGGATACATAAAGTACCTCTTAAAGATAGAGTTTGATACAAGGGAAAATAAAAAGATAAGGCAGTCTGTACTGGCCCATCACATCAATCTGAATTTCTAGAAATCCTTCCACAAATCCTGATTTGATCATCCATCTCAATTTCTTGGCTGCAATATCGAATTGCCATGCTGTTGTCCTGGACATATGTTCAACATCCCTGTCTAGCTTAGAGACCTGAGATTTCCTTGTAATCTCCTAGCTATCCATTACTTGAGTCCGGCACTGCTTAGCTTCTTTGAAGATTAAACAAAATCAGCTAGGTGCTACTACTGAATAGTGATGTTAAAAATACATTATTCCACATTCAAGTAAATATGCCCTTGAGTCACCTCAATTCCTGGTGACTATGTGGTCACACTCATGTGTTTTTCTTGGCAGCCTTAAATGTTTTTTTAAATTAGAAATATGAATACATGTCCTCCTTAGATGATGTCATATTCGCTAAATTTATAATTCTAAATTATATAGAGTTGCTACCCTATGTCAGATGATCAGTTTACTCATAAATAACTATTGACTAGTGTTGACCAGTCTACATCTTAATGGAATATAATAAATTAAAAAAAGAAAAGATTGTGGGCAAAGTAGGTGGGAATAGCCACAATAAATAATAATATTTCTATACAATGGGATTTTACATTGTTCTCCAATGTTTCCATTTTTGGTCTATCCCAAATATGATTTGGATTCCCCAAATCCTACCGGCACAGATTTAGAACAATGTATAGAAATGTTTGGGAAGATATCAAAAATGTGTTTCT